GACGCGGATCCTTCCCATCCACACTGGTTAAAACCACTTCTCTCGCTTAAGGCAGAAGTGGGAGAGAAAGGAAAGGAAGGGAATCCATCCACACTGGTTTAAACTGACGCGGATCCTTCCCATCCACACTGGTTAAAACCACTTCTCTCGCTTAAGGCAGAAGTGGGAGAGAAAGGAAAGGAAGGGAATCCATCCACACTGGTTTAAACTGACGCGGATCCTTCCCATCCACACTGGTTAAACCGCTTCTCTCGCTTAAGGCAGAAGTGGGAGAGAAAGGAAAGGAAGGGAATCCATCCACACTGGTTTAAACTGACGCGGATCCTTCCCATCCACACTGGTTAAAACCACTTCTCTCGCTTAAGGCAGAAGTGGGAGAGAAAGGAAAGGAAGGGAATCCATCCACACTGGTTTAAACTGACGCGGATCCTTCCCATCCACACTGGTTAAAACCACTTCTCTCGCTTAAGACTGACGCGGGAGGGAAAGGAAAGGAAGGGGATCCATCCACACTGGTTTAAACTGATGCGGATCCATCCACACTAGTTAAAACCGCTTCTCTCGCGGGAGGGAAAGGAAAGGAAGGGAATCCATCCACACTGGTTTAAACTGACGAAGATCCATCCCATCCACACTGGTATTAACAGACGCGGGAGAGAAAGGAAATGAAGGGAATCCATCCACACTGATTTAGACTGATGCGGATCCATCCTATCCATACTGGTTAAAATCACTTCTCTCGCTTAAGACTGAAGCGGGAGAGAAAGGAAAGGAAGGGAATCCATCCACACTGATTTAGACTGACGCGGATCCATCCTATCCATACTGGTTAAAATCACTTCTCTCGCTTAAGACTGAAGCGGGAGAGAAAGGAAAGGAAGGGAATCCATCCACACTGATTTAGACTGACGCGGATCCATCCCATCCACACTGGTATAAACTGACGTGGGAGGGAAAGGAAAGGAAGGGAATCCATCCACACTGGTTTAGACCGCTTCTCTTGCTTAAGACTGACTCAGGAGGTGGGAGGGAAATGAAGGGGGAAATTCATCCAGGCTGCTTTTACACCACTTTTCAGGACCCGGGCAGAATGTGAGGGGAAAGGAGGGGGGGGGAATTCATCCA